AGAGAGAAGGAAGGTCCAAGGGGAGAGGTTGGGGGGGGGGGCGGCTGTTTGGCAACTGGGTTAAGAGATTTCCCTCCCCCTGCTGGGATCCCCTCAGCCCCACCGGTCTGGCAGAAGTGGGGCAGCCTGCAACCCACCACAGGCAGGTCTGGGGCTGCCAGATGCTCCAGGCAGGGGGCTGGAGGGGGCTCACAAAGGCTTGCCCTCCAGGGAGATGACGGCACTGCCCCCCAGCTCCCCTGCCAGAGTGCGGCGGTCCTTGACCTCCTCCTCGCAGCAGTTTGCCTGTAATTCATGCTTGATCCCCGTAGGCTTCTTTTTGATGGCATCCTTGAAGCTGGCATAGATCATTTTGCTCTTAAGAGGCACAGACTCAGGGGCCCCGAAGATAAATACCCCGTCCTCCTCCGTGCTCTCCTTGGTCTCATAGGTGGCATTATCCAGGGCGTAAAGCAGTCTTTGCCCCACAGCATCTTGACGAAGGTGGCGTAGGGGTCGTCTACTGTCTGGCCCACATCACCTACCAGGATCTCCCTGCCCTCTTCCAGAATTCTTCACTCAGGCAGAAGAGCACCGCCCTCCTGCGCTTCTTCACCTCCTCTGGTGTCGAGGACTTGGTACCTTCATGTCACTGAACACTTTGACGACTCCCTGAGAGACAGCCACACCAGAGCCATGTTTCCGGAAGCTAAAGGAGAAAGCAAGAAGCTCCTGAAAAGACTAGCGCTGCTGCAGCTGCTGCGGGGATCCGACTGAACCCATCATTGTTTTTGTTACTATGTAGAAGCTTCATATTTTATATAGTAAAATTTACAAATTCTTTTAAGGTTTTAGGAACAACTGGGGAGCTGTTGCTACCACCAAAATAAATTCCATGTGAGTAAAAACACACACACACACACACAAAACCTAACAAACAAAACAAAGGTAATAAACAAAGCCCTAAAAGTTCTAGAAGAAAACATGGGAGAATGTTTTTGGTAGCAGAAAATAAAACGGCTTGTGAGCATACAAAAAGATACTCTTAATAGAAGTGAAAATTATTCCTGTAATGAGATAGCATTTTGTACCCATTAGATTGGCAAAGGCCAGTTGGTATATCATTTGTAATGTAGTTCTGGGTTCTATTTGTTAATATTGTATTTTAATTTTATTTTATATCTGAAAGGAGATTAACCAGTAGATTTCTCCTTTGTGCACTCTTTATCAGGTTTCGGTATCACAGCCATTTAAAAAAAACAAACCAACATACAAAACTGAAGGATAATTGGTGAAAACGCTTTGAAGGCAACCAGTTGAAATGACCTTGAAGAAAAAAAGAAAGAAAAAGAGAGCTTTTCAGATCTTGCTTCCCAGCAATTGTCATCAGTTTGGACTCAAATAAACTCATAAAAATTCTCTATAGGTTTAGGTGTTTATTACATGGACACAATAAACACAAAACAAATATACTCCTTGTTAGCTCTTCTTCCTCAACTTCTATTTGTTGAGATTTCTCAGAACTGCAACCTTGATCCTCTAGTCTGCTCTGTACTCCCCCCAAAGGAATCTCATTCACAGTGTAGCCCCACATTTCTAACTCCAGTTCAAGCCTCTCTTCTGATGTCTAAATTGATATATCCAAATGCTTATTTTTCAGTTCCATTTCAATGTTTTATAGATATTTCATATTTAATACTATGTGTTTTTTTTATTACTCTTTAAAAATTATTTATTTATTTATTTATTTATTTGGGAGAGGGAAGAGAGAGATAGAAACATCAATGATGAGAGAGAATCATTGATCAGCTGCCTCCTGCACACCCCACACTGTGGATTGAGCCCGCAACCTGGGCATGTGCCCCAACTGGGAATTGATGAACTGTGACCTCCTGGTTCAATATACGATGCGATATTGAATCTAAGAAGCTACTGATTGTCACATTTATGCCCACTAAGATAAAAAAGAAATTACTGCCAATTGAATGACATGATGCTAAGATACTCTTGAATCTTACCTTTGTAAGGTACATCTCAATTTCAGAGATGTTAAAATAATTTTTTTAAAAAATGTGATAAAAACAGAAAGAAAGAAAGATGCTTACAACACTGTGGTTTGTCTATTTTTGTAAAAATTTCCAACACCATACTCTTCATACCTTCTTTCTGACATAAATTCATAAGCTATTCCAAGTATTATGGACAGTGCTTTCCTTTCCAATAAATATATGAACTTTCAGAGGCAAACAGTGGTTTATTCTCACAAACCTACCTCACCCTCTCTATCTTATCAGCCTGACACCTGAACCGAACATACAAAAACTCCTACTTCAGAAAATGGAGAAGGGCTGGGGAATGAGTACCAAGCCTGCCTCTCTCCAGTTCAGGTAGGCTGGTCTCCTCACTGTTACTTACTTCCACCACTGTATTCCTGCTGCTGCTCTCCAGTTTCATATTCTTTCCTTCAACTGTCTTTCCTCATCTTTGATTCATTTATCTATCCCACTACCTGCTTCAAAACCCAGTTTAAGTTTCCTTCTTCCATGATCTGGCTAATCCAGTTTATTCCACATACCACAGACTTTCATTTGTTACTGTATTGAAAGTTTGGCTATACGTTCTAGCTATAATTGCTCTCAAATTGTTTCAAAGAGTGCTGGTTTTCTTTTTTCAGGCTTTGTGGTTAGCTCCCTGAGGGCAGGGACCTTATCTTAAAATTCTGCTGGGCTTTCTCATTATGTTTAGCACTGTGAGTAAATACATTCACTGCATACTTGCAAAGCATATTTCACTGAAGACATCCATCACAATTGTTCATTTAGTGAGTGAGATAATGAAGATGCAAATGCTCGCCAAAGGTAAACCATTACTATTAATTCCCTCATTCATCATACATGTACATCAGCCTCAGGGGCTAGGGAGCCTAGGATTGCAGCTCTTTGTCTCAGATCTCTCCAGGTTGGAGCTAACCATGAAGTTTAGATTTGCCTAGGGCCCAACACTAAGGGTCCAAGACTGCATTTACCCCCAGAATGGACCAGGTTAGCTTGGATCTCTGAGAATAAACTCAAACAATGGAAACTCAAATGACAAGATACCATTTTCTCATGAATTCAGCAGGACTTCCTTATAAATTGCTGAAACCCAAATCTTTTAGCTTGCAGGAGTGGGATAGCTGCTAGGACATACCTTTGCCACATTGTAATGTTTAGTCCCTACATAGAAAAATGGATGTTTTTTATTTTATTCGACTAGGGGCCCAGTGCATGAATTCAAGCACCTTGAAAGGAACTGTGGGCCACGAGGCTGTGGTGGGCACAGGGGCAGGTCTCGGCCCATCCTCCGCGCCCCTGCCAGGCCCCTCCCACCATGGGCGCCACCCCCCTCCCCCGCACCCCTCCTGGCAGCCACGCTCCTCCCCACCCCCCCACAGCCCCCCTCCCTGCTTCTGCCACCATCATTGGGTGCAAATGGCGGCTGCTGCCCGGATCAGCCCTCAGGAGCAGGGGGAGGTGGAGAAGCCCTCAGGGGCGATCAGGGCAGGCAGTCACAGCTTGCACACTCTGATGGCAGTGAGTGATTGGGGCTGGCGCCAGGCACTGGCAGCAGATGCGAGCACCAGTGGGACCAAGGCACATGGGAGCAAAGAATTTTCAGTAACCACCAGAGGCTCGCCCAGATGACCACGACCTGTGCCCCATCTTGGTCTGGTGCCCCAGCTCAGCTGCTCCATCCCACTGCGGCTGATGCCTGCCATGTTCCGCACACACCCCCTGGTGGTCAGCACATGCCATAGCGACCGGTTGTTAGGTTGTTCAGTTGTCCTCCTCGCTTCAGTCTATCTGCATATTAGGGTTTTCTATATAGAGATTATGTTAAATGTTTTACTTAAATTTTTAAATTTTAGGATTGTTTAAGTTTTAGGTGGGAAACTAACAGGGCAAAAACTTACACACTCTTTTCAAAAATATGAGAATTAGCATTTTCCAGAGGGCATTTGGGGTTGACAAGTGCTGCCACCACACCTTTAAGATCACTTTACAGCTGTGGGAAAACTCGCTGAGCTGTTTTCCTCGACCCGGCCATTTCCAAGAGGCTGTATGGCCGCAGGGAACGGCACAGCCCTGCTCTTTATCTCTCTCCTCCTCCTCCTCACCCTTTCAAAGCCAAATCCGCCCGGTGAGAATTTGGAAACGAGGCTGGAGGCAAGAGAGGGCGAGGGGGGAGGGGTTCTTTACGACGGTGGGGGAAGCGCTCTCTGAGGCATTTTTCACTCCCCCTCGCGCTCCCCGGAGCCGGCAAGTCCTGCGTCTGAAGTTGGAAGTTTGGGGCGCTCTGCTGCGTTTCCAGCTCGCCCTGCAGTTGGGAGTCCACCCTGCAGGGGCTGAGAACACTGCCGCGAGGCCATCAACCTGAGCTTCTGGCCAGCAGGACGCCCAAGCCAGGCCCAGGGCACCGGTTGTCATGAGAACCGGAGCGCCGGTCTCCCCGGCGACCTCGTCCCCAGGGAGGAGGCGGGGCTGAAGGCCTGATGGGCCAATCAGGCCGCGGGAAGCGCAGGGTGAGAGATCCGCGGTCCTCCAGGAGCCCGGGAAGCGCTGAGTGACAGGCACGGGGGCGGGGCCGCCCCGGCCGCCCGAGGTGGAGCCGGAGTTGGGCGACTACCTCTCGCGGCCGCGGCGCGGCGAGGGTGACACACGGCGATCTGGGCCCCTCGAGACCGTCGTGCTGGCCGGCGAGCAGCGCGCCTGGGCTCCCGGGTCCGCCTCGGCCGCCGCGGCCGCGCTCGGAGCCGGCTCCAGGCATCGAGCGGCCCCGCGCCTGACGGGTCGGGCCAAACTCTCGGAGGCGCGCCGAGCACCGGAGGGCGAGAGGCTGCGCGAGCGCTCCCGGGTCCGGCGGTCTGCCGGGGTCGCCGCCCGAGCGGCGTTTCCGAGGCGTGGAGGCGGAGGAGGCGATGCTGCTGCTCCTCTCCCCCTCCCCCGGCTCCGTCTCCCGCTCCGTCTCCAGCTCCGTCGGCCCACGCCCGCACCCGCTCCGGGGAGAAGAGGTGGTGGCTCTCCGCGCCCGCGGCGGCTGCCGGCGGCCCGCCCCGACGCCGCGTCCCCGCCGCGCGCTCCAGTAGCAGGACCGGGTCTCCCTCCCGACGAGCCGGTGAGGACGGGGGCGGCCCTGGGCTCCGGGCTGGAGGCGCAGACGTGCGCAGCCAAGGGCGCCGCTCGCCCTCCTTCTCTTCTCTCGGCTTTTGCTGCAGCCCCTGTCACCCACTCCCCTGCTGCCCCGGGGGAAGAAACTTTTTTCTTTGGCTTTCGCGGTGGGGGGTTTCCGGATGCCAGAGTCGGGATCGGGGAGGGATGAGACGAACTTGCACGTCGAATTAGGGAGACCCCCCTCTTCCGCGGCGGAGAGCCGGGTTGTTGGGCATGAAACCCCGTGGGGCGATCGGGAGTGACCTGGTCCCATCGGGCTAGCGCAGCTCTGCTCTGGGCGCGCTAAGGCGAGGGCTCCCGAGTCTGTTTCTAATTTTTGCAAATGACTGTGGACATGATGTGGTGAGAGGCCGCACCGAAGAATGTGTATATGTAAGGGCTGGGGCAGAGGGGGTGGGGGGTGGGGGTGGGGGACGGGGGCTGTGGGGGCCGAGGGAGAGACACTGCCTGGTGCAGGCGCTTTTATTGCTTTTCTTCTTCGTGCGCGAGCCACCCCCCTCCCCCCTCCGCTGATTACATGATTCTGTAGGACGGAAAGCTGGAAAGCTGAAGCTGATTACATGATTCTGTAGGACGGAAAGCTGGAAAGCTGAAGTTTGGTAAAGTCGAGCAAGTTCTTAGGAAGTTTCGTTTCCTACTGTTGTGAATATGTTGGAGGAGGGGAGATGGGGGGAAATATTAGCACCAAAATAGGCTTCCAGCAAGCAGTACAGGTTTCATGGGCCTCGCACAGATGCGATGGACACCCCCACACACGTCCAGCTAATCTCGAAGACAGCCTTGTGTCATTTTCGTTTAATTGCATCTTTGAAACAACAAACGCGGTGACTTCATAGGGAGCAGCCGGGCGCTGAGTTTACCTCTCAGAAAATGGGGCAATCGGGTTTGTTTTCAAGGCGGGGACCTGAACAAAATGTGGGACACCTGAGCTGTTGGTTGACGGGGCGCTGGTAACTAATTAGCAAGATTTTAAATTTTATAGCTACAGAGCTTACTAAGGGATGGGGGGAGAGGAGGATAAAAGTCGCCGTATAATGACACAAGCGTTGGTATTTTCCCAAATTCTTTCTGACTAGGTTCTCAGGGTCCAAGTGAAAACTTGCTTCATGCTCCTTGGTCGCCTGTGGTGGGGCTATGATACAAATTAGTTCTCGTTTTAATGTCATTAGCATTTTAAAATTAAGTGCAGGCATGTATTGACTCAGTAAATTCATACAAGAGCAAATTGAATACTTTGTCATCCAGTCGTAAATTTATTATACTTTTTCATAACATTGTGTTCTAACTTCGTTGTAGAGGCTTGGTGGGAGTATGTGTGGGGGATAGGGCAGGATGGAAGCGGGGAATTAAAAATAGAAAGGTAACTAGGGTTAGTTATTAAGAAAAAGAGACTAATTTATAGTGTCCTTCACTTTTACAATTGGAGAATTATTACTTCCTTTACCATTATGTAGGATTGTCTTGCATTTACATTTGTCCCACCAAAATTTTTACTTTAATGTAAAATAAAGCCTACTTATTTTTTGGAGGGTGACTACCACCCTCCAAAAATACTTATGAATAGCTTTTCATGTCACAAGTAACACACAATATACACAAACCATTGAAACCAGTGTCAATTTAAAGGATAGATGTCTTTTTTGTTTGGGCTTTTTATTTTATTATTATTATTATTGTTATTATTATTTGTTGGTTAATCCTCATCCAAGGATATTTTTCCATTGATTTTTGTTATTTTATTTTATTATTTTTTAAATGATTTTTACAGAGAGGATGGGAGAGGGATAGAGAGTTAGAAACATGGATGAGAAACATCGATCAGCTGCCTTCTGCACGCCCCCTACTGGGAATGGAGCCTGCAACCAAGGTACATGCCCTTGATCGGAATCGAACCCGGGACCCTTCAATCCGTGTGCCCACACTCTATCCACTGAGCCAAACCAGTTAGGGCTCCATCGATTTTTAGAGAGAGTGGAAAGGAGAGTGTGAGACAGAGAGCAACATCCATGTGAGAGAGATACATGGATTGGTTGCCTCCTGCACACGGCTTGGCCAGGGCCAAGGAACCTGCAACGGAAGTAGGAAGTACGTGCCCTTGACCGGAATCGAGCCTGGGACTATTCAGTCCAAGGGCCAACACTCTATCCACTGTGCCAGACCGGCCAGGGCAAGGGTAGATTTCAATACTATCTATGAGAGGAGTCAAAAGTTGTAAATACCTCACATTATCTTTTTCTGTAGATATGCCTCATAAATTAAGGAAGTGAATTTGAGAATTGTTAATCAGTTTTTGGGTAGAAGATAGGTGTCGATATTTAAATGAATGGAATTTATGTGTTCTTTATTATTAAAAAAACAGGTCAACCTTAGCTGGTTTGGCTCAGTGGATAGAGCGACGGCCTGCTGACTGAAGGGTCCCAGGGTTCTATTCCAGTCAAAGGCACATGCCCAGGTTGGGGCCTTGATCCACAGTAAGGGGCGTGCAGGAGGCAGTTGATCAATGATTCTCTCTCATTATTGATGTTTCTATCTCTCCCTCTCCCTTCCTCTCTGAAATCAATAAAAATATATTTTAAAAAAAGAAAACAGGTCAAATCCTTGCTTTATTTCACTTTTAATAGATTGAGGATTAGTGGAAGAGCATTGTGGCTTCTCCTATATCAGTTGTGTATTCATTTTTCCAGCTCATCTTATTGCCCAGCTCCAAACATACTGGAGAAAAGGACTATTGGCCCCCTGGCTGATGGCTCAGTGGTTAGAGTGTCGACCTGCACACTGCTTACAGGTTCAATTCCCAGTCAGGGGCATGTACCTGCGTTGCAGGTCCAATCCCCAGCCCCCATCAGGGCTAGATCAGGAGGCAACGAATTGATATCTCTCATCTCACATCCATGTTTCTCTGTATCTCTCTCTCAAAATCAGTGGAAAAAAGTATCCTTGGCTGAGGATTAACAACAGTAACAACAAAGACTATTGGGGATAAGCTGCCACTGCTTCTTATGCATTTTTGACAGTTTGTAATTTTTATTTTTTTATTATATTTTTATTGATTTTAGAGAGGCAAAGAAAGGGAGAGAGAGATAGAAACATTAATGATGAGAGAGAATCATTGATAAGCTGCCTTCTGCATGCCCCCTACTGAGGATCGAGCTCACAACCTGGGTATGTGCCCTTCACTGGAATCGAACCTGGATCCTTCAGTCCGCAGGCTGATACTCTATCCACTAAGCCAAACTGGCTAGGGCGAGTTTGTAATTTTTAAATAAACTACAAAACATTTTTTGTGGTATAATTATATTGTAATTAATACCATTTGAAATTGAAAAGAAACACTACCATACTCCAAGTCTGTGCTTTTAGGAGTTATTCCTGTCAACATATTCTTATTTTGGCATATACTTTGTGCTATTAATTAGAATAGTGCATTGATGGTATTCTGTCTGGCCTCTGATATAACCAAGTGTGACTCATTTGTGTTAATGTCACTTTATAAGGTAGGAGCCTGAAAAAGGACAAAAGATATTGGGTCTCAGGAAAGGATTCGTGCTGATGGGAAAGGTGATGGTTCCTTGCTCTGGCTTTCCCAATTTTTCTCTGAGAACCTTTCTCTTTTAATTTGAAAATTAAGGGAGCTTTTAATGAGCAAATTAACATAAGACTTTAAATGGCCTAAGTTAAAGTTTCATTGTAAGAAATTAGTGAGTATATCTGCAAGCAAAGAAATGTCTTTGGCTGCATACTACATCTATGCCTACTAAACAGTTTTCTATTTTATTTCCATTAAAGTGCCTGCACGTTAGAATCACCTGAGTAGCTTTGAAATATCTTTATGCCTAAGATTCAACCCAGACCAATTAAATCAGAATCTTGGGGGAGAGGAGTGAGGGGTGCAGGGAGTGACACCCATGTATCCATATTTTTGGAAGTTCCCTAAAGAATTTAAACATGGAGCCAACTTGTGAACCAACATTCTAGTCCTCCCTAGAAGGTCAGTATTAGAAAACTTGATTCCCACAAATGCAGCAACATTTTTATATTGAATTATATTTCTTCTATATAAAGCACAAGTTTTTTTTAGAAATAAACTTAATGTCTCAGAAGCATCTCTCTCTATATATGCCCATCTATAGGACTTTTTACTGTTGGAATCAGAATTTAAGATGCAGGTATTTCCCTCTAGTTTTTTAGAGCTGCACTGTCCAGTGTAGTAGTTTCAGCCACAAGTGGCTACATTTAAATTAAGTAGATAACAATTTATAATAGTTACTATACCTGCTAGCCGTATTTTTTAAATTGTTTTATAATATATTTTTATTGATTTCAGAGAGGAAAGGAGGGGGATAGACAGATAGAAACATCAATGATGAGAAAGAATCATTGGTCGGCTGCCTCCTGCATGCCCCACACTGGGGATGGAGCACTCGACCCGGGCATATGCCCTGACCAGGAATCGAATCGTGACCTTCGGGTTCATAGGTCAACACTCAACCACTGAGCAACACTAGCTGTATTTTAAGTGCGCAATAGCCACCTGTGGCTAGTAGCTACTGTATTGGATATCATTACAGAAAGTTCTGTATTACCTCTAGATTTTAAAATTTGTATTCTAATTTCTCATCATTCACATATAAATTTATAATTTAAAATTATGTATTTTTCATAGTTGTTTTTTAAGGGGAAATACCATTTTCGATGTTCACATTACCTCTTTCTTCAGTGTGTTGTACCTAGTTGTAAGGTTTTCCTTTTTAAAACCTTAACTGAGAGGAGAACCTTTAGTGTCTTTGTGTTTATTATTTATATCAGAATGCTCTGAATCTAACCAACAGTTTAAAATTGCCCTCGTGTATGCTATCAGTTTCTGGTCTGGAAATAGAGAAAGTCATCATTTCAACTCCAGTGTTGGAAATTTGATTCAAGGTGTGTTTTTTTGTTTTTAATCTG